GTTTACCAGTTACAAGCTGAATCTTCAACCTGTAAACAAGGAAATTGTAGTTTGTCTTCCTATTATTCAGCCCTTACTTCCATATGGAAAGAATTAGATCATTATCAGGCTATAGAGTGGAAGCATGATGACGATGCTAAGGCCTACAGGAAGTTGGTTTCTCAGCAGCGTGTGTTTGCCTTCTTGTTGAGACTGAACCCTGCCTATGAACCTTTGAGAATTTAGATCCTAGGAAACAAAGAGTTACCATCGGTTCACGAGGAATACTCCCTTGTTCAATCGGAAGAAAGTAGGCGGAGTGTGATGGTTATAGCTGAGGGGGAGCAACAAGATGCTTTGGCTGCAATGAATAATAACTCCACGGGGAAGAAAAGTGACACTAAGAAGGTGGATAATAAAGACAAGTTGTTTTGTACCCACTGTCGGCGTTCACGGCATACACGTGACACATGTTGGGACATCCACGAGAAACCCAAGTGGGCAGTGAAGAACCAAGAATAGGGTAAAGGTCAAGGTCAGAAGAAGATGAACACAGCACAGAATGTAGCACATGTGGCAACCCAAGATACTCAGGTTGTCGGTACTACCCGGGACCACCTTAATAATTCTGACCCCAAGGAAGATATAATGAATTCCTTCAGAGAACACCTGGAGTCTTATGGTAGGGCTTTGCAACAAATGGATAGCTCAGTCACTGGTACTCCCTCTACTTCATTTGCATCTACATCAGGTAATACGGCTTCTGCATTCCATGTCACTCCCACAGGTTCCCCTTGGATCATTGACTCAGGGGCCTCTAACCACATGACCGGTAAGCCGAACTTATTTCAGGCTATAGACTTATAGCCTTTTGTCAAGAAGGGATAAAGTGAGACTTGCAGATGGCTCATTTTCCTCCATTGCAGGCCAAGGATCAATATCTCTTCCCCATGGCCTTAACCTGAATTGTGTATTGCATGTCCCTCAACTTCCTATAAATTTGCTTTCAATTAGTAGTATCACAAGCTCTTTAAACTGTAGTGTAACCTTTTTTTCCTAGCTCATGTGTTTTTCAGGACCTAACTTCTGGGAGNCATAGTCAGTTAAATAAGTCAAATTTTTTTGTGGCATAGTCGATTAGGTCATGTTTCTTTTGAAATAGTAAAGTCTTTGTTTCCGGTTTTATTTAAGTCATGTTCAGTGTCAGAGTTCCAGTGTCAAACGTGTCAATTGAGCAAACAATGTAGAACTTTTCACTCAAATAATAAAAGATCAAGTGTTCTTTTTCATGTTGTGTATTCTGATGTATGGGGGCCTACTAATGTAATCTCTGAGGGCGGATATAAGTACTTTATCACATTGATCAATGACTACTCTCGCTATACATGGGTTATTCCCTATGCATAGTAGAGACGAATTTCCAAAGATTGTGAAATACTTCCAGAGGATGGTATTTACGCAGTTTCATGTTGAAATACAGATCTTCCAATCCGACAATGCAAAAGAATACTTCCATGGTGAGCTCAATGAGTTCTTTGTCTCCCACGGATCTATTCATAGGAGCTCATGCGCCAGAACACCACAACAAAATGGTGTTGCAGAAAGAAAAAACAGACACCTCCTTGAGGTAGCTCGCGGGATGATGTTACACATGAATGTTCCAAAAAGGTTTTGGATGAATGCTATACTTGCAGCTGCTTATATCATCAATTGCATGCCCTCCAAAGTGCTGAACTACATGGCCTCTCATAAGTTGTTGTTCCCTCAGTCCCCTTTATTTTCCATTCTCATGAGAGTTTTTGGTTGTCGTGCCTTTGTCCATGATTTGTCTCCGTCTCGAGGTAAGTTAGACCCTCGGTCCATTCCTTGTATCTTTCTGGGGTATCCCTCCTCTCAAAAAGGGTATCGGTGCTTTGATCCCATTAGTCATAAGTTTTTTGTGTCATGGATCTGTCCTTCTTTGAGTCTGAGCCATTCTTCACTACTTCTCCTCAGGGGGAGAGTAGTAGTGTGGAAGAGGAGAAGCAGGTTCAAATCCGCAAAGTCTCTCTTCCTTCTATTCCGGACCTTGCTCCCTTTCGTGTCTTCCAACGTTCACATCGTAGAGATCAGCAATGTGATAGAGATGTGGAGCAGCCAAACATTGAGCAACCGACACCATTAGACTTCCAGGAGGCAAGTCCAATCCCTGTTGCACCTATTGATACCCCTACTCCTACTGTGGATGACCTTGACATTCCTATTGCTCAACAAAAGGGAGTCAGGTCATGCACTACCAGACACCCCATTACCCATTTTGTCTCCTATGATCACATTTCCCCCTCATACCAAGCCTTTCTATCTGTAGTTGATTGCATCCCTGTTTCCAGAAACGTTGTAGAAGCCTTAAAATGCCCCGAATGGACAGATGCCATGAAGGAAGAGATTAATGCTCTTCACAAAAATCAAACTTGGGAATTGGTGGATCTTCCAAAGGGGAAAGACCCCGTGGGGTGTAAGTGGGTGTTTACTGTTAAACACAAGGTAGACGGAACAGTTGAAAGGTACAAAGCAAAATTAGTAGCCAAAGGGTACACTCAACTGTACAGGGTTGAATATGTTAAGACTTTTGCTCCAGTAGCTAAGATGAACTCAATTAGGGTTCTCCTGTCATTAGCTGTTAATCTTGACTGGGAATTGCATTAACTGGACATAAAGAATGATTTTCTGAATGGTGACTTAGAGGAGGAAGTATACATGGTTCAACCCCCTGGATTCTGTGCCAAGGGAAGTGAAAATAAGGTGTACAAGCTGCGAAAGTCTCTTTATGGTTTAAAACAATCTTCCAAAGCTTGGTTCAGTAAGTTTCACATGGCAGTTCAGCATATGGGCTTCAAACAATGTCAGTCTGATCATACACTCTTTGTGAAGAGATGTCAGGAATAGGTTGTTGTATTGATAGTGTATGTGGATGATATCATCATTATAGGAAGTTGGAGTTCAGAAATACAAAAATTGAAACAATTCCTTGCATCTAAATTTGAAGTGAAAGATCTAGGTCCCCTAAAGTATTTCTTTGGAATTGAAGTCGCCCGCTCAGAAAAGGGTATCTTTATCTCTCAAAGGAA